CCACATCTTTTCCTTCCCTTCGCCTCTCTATTAATGTGCTTGGACACTGAGCTCTGTGAACAGCCAGCCTCTTTAGCGATGACCTTTTGTGTCTTGCCCTCCTTGTGCAAGGTGTCGATGGTCGTCTTTTGGACAACTGTCAAGTCAGCAGTCTTCCCCATGATTGTGTAGCCTATAGAACTAGACTGAAAGACCATTTAAAGGCTTTTGCAGGTGGTTTGAGTTAATTAGCTGATTAGAGTGTGGCACCAGGGGCCATCATTTTTGAACCTTTTCACAATATTCTAATTTTCTGATATGATGAATTTGAGATTTTCATTTGTTGTCATTTGTAATCATCAAAATTAAACAAAATAAACATCTGAAATATATAAGTTTGTATGTAATGTATGAATATAATATACAAGTTTCACTTTTTAAATGGAATTACTGAAATCAATCTACTTTTTCATGATATTCTAATTTTATGACCAGCACCTGTACATATGTTAAAATCTTTTGTCTGGTGGAAGTCAGACTGCGCTATGTCTCTGAAATATTTACGCCCATAGTGCGGTCCAACATTCAATGGAACCAAAAGTCTTTCACTGCTGATCCTTTCCATGTTCCGTTTTGACGTGTTTCACCTCTGAGGAATTTTCCCATTGCTAGACGCAAACCCCGCATTACTCTCAAAGCACAAAGTGTCCACATGACCGTGCTTAGGATTTGCTGATGTGCGGTGCAGTGGGAAGGACAGAGGGAGTAACGCTGCCAGTGGGGGTCTTTACAGGCTTTTTCAGATCGGTAATAAAAAGATGTTCAACGGCAATCATCGATTACATTTTTTTTTTTTTCAGGAAATTTGTCCAATTATCATAGGTGGTTAATCGATCGATACACCACTGGTCACAACTAAACGGTTGTTGTCATAGTGACAACTATCGGCCAGTGACATTCAGTGATAGAAAAATGGCCTTTACTTTTATAAACCCTTTCATATGAGACGACTACACTACATTCAGTCATTCCGCCATTTACTCATATTTGTTTGACTTGGAAGTTGTAAGCTCCTTTTATCAGTGGGTTTTAAACATTATCCAGAAAACAAATCTGGACTTTCAAATGTAAACTTTAAGGATCCCTTTGGTAAAACAATGAGATGTGCAAGAAAAAAAAAATACATTTTGGTGATCTTAATTAAATGCAAACTAAAAAAAATGAAATCAGTTTTGGTTCTTTAAATCAGAATAAGCAATTTACTTCAGCAATCACCATATCCTGCAGATCCCTTGTAAGAAAGGCCGCAACTAAGGATTATTTCGCAAATTAATGAATCTGTTGATTATTTTTTTAACTTAGCAATTAATATTCAGATAGCAAGAGGGCCCTTAAAGCAGACTTTTTGTGGAATTAAACTAAAACTTTTTTTTTTTTCCTACAGTTCTGGTATAATTACTGCTCTAAGTTGGTTGCTCTGTCAGCTAAAGGTATGTTTTAGAGTCTCTCTACTCCAGTTAAAGATTAGTCTATTGCTCAATTAGCTGACGATTATTTCAATAATCGATTAATCTGATTAATCTGATGAATTGTTTCAGCCCTACTTTTAAGACCTACTAAACTATATGAAACTGAAAATGGAAAACATTACAGGATCTCCTGTATTTATAGAGCAAAATAATTATTTTTTTATATGAGCAGTATAGTTTTCATAAAAATGTTGAAAAATCCTTATCTTACAATCGGAGAAATGAGTCTAAAATCAAGTCTAATCAAGGAAAGATTGTACCACTCGAAACTAATTAATTACAGCCTGGGTGCCGTCTACCTCTATATATTGAAATGCTTGTATATTTGCACCCAAACACATCTAATAAATGCAAGGACAAAAGAAAAACTATAGCAGACGTGCAGCATCAGCCATAAGGGAATTGCAGTCGGTACCTAGAGTAACAAAGAGATAATAATGATGTATTACTTTGTAACTCTCACAGTAAGGATTGATGGTGATGAGTGATGGCATCTAATGATGATGACAATGATGAAGAAGGCAGTAGATGATGGGTCATAAAAATGACTGATGAAGCGTGCTTCAACTGGGGACTGTACAGCGAAGATACCACTCTCACTGCGCCCCAAGATAAAGCTTGTTGTCTTTTGCTGCAATTTGTAGCACGCAAGCACCAACAGCCATATTTCTATAAAGCAATTAGCATTTCAAAAAACACCCCCCAGGACTGGAAAATAGTCTTAAAGCAGACTGAGCGTCTCGCTTGTTTTTTTTTTTTTTTTATTTCTCTTCAACAGCTCTCTGGAGCTGATCCAACAAAACAATAGTCCTATGGGCTGATAGAGATATTTATTTATTCTGAAACCGCTTTTGGTAAAGCCCCAATTACAAGTCAGTCGATAACCAAACAGATGATAGTGACTTCCTTCAATTGCTGTTAAATGAAGTGCCAAATAGAAATGAAGAGTTCAGAGAATGTGGCATCCTCTGTGAAACAGAGCAGCTCAATAAAATCGATTACTGGCAATACAGTGAGGTGGACATTACTCCTGTATTAGCTTAAAAGTGATAAAGGCAGTGTATACGGTTGATGTCATTAAAAGGGAAGCCTTTTTAAAATATTACATAAGTAATATCCATTTCCTTCCCATAAAGAATTTGTATGAGAGGCAGAGGAGCACAACAGTGAGGGAGTTGTTGTTCGTGCAGCTGAGCTAAATGAGCTTTAACTCTCAGACATGGAGACACTCGGGTATAAACAATGATGGCATTTTTTGTTTCAATAAGGTAAACAAGCATGTGGTTTTTTTTTAGGGTGTTTTATGAGAACCATCCTTTTTGGTCTTAACTTTTTTAGATTTTGTTACGTTTCATCTTCAAATGAATTTACTTTATTGAAGTATTCTTCTGGAAAGACAAAATACCTTTGAATTCGATACCCTTTATTATGACACCCCAAAATAATATCTACTACAACCAACTATCACATCATTAAAATAATATGTAGGCATTAGGTCTGTTGTAGAAGCTGACTTTAACTGAGGAGGTAATTAAGCTGTTTGATTTAGGTAAATTGGACCAGGAAGATGTCTAGAAGTTGCCGTATACAGACCCTCCAGGACATGAGTTTGGTGTCCCTTAGACATTTGCCAAAGAACAAGGGCAAGAATAGACTTTTGAACAATACAGTAACAATATTTTTGTCATACCTCAACACTTAGTAACAGAAATTACCACAAAAAAACAAGAAAAAATACATTAGCTACATTTGCGGAAAATGTCCCGATGCAATCTATTAGAAATTCAAAATCTCTGTTTACATGCACACTAAATAAAATGTTCCAATCATGACATGTGTATTCAAATTAAATAATGCATAATATGCATGCAAGGACTGTCTAATTTTCCAGAAATGCTTTAGAAGAAACTGCCTGTTTCTAAAATTTAGCTACTCTTTGTGCCTGCCCCTCAAATTACTTTTTATTCAGTGGTGTGTTAAAGTTTTTTCCGTCATGTACCTCCATCACATCTTTTTATCCATACTTCTGTTTATGGTAATGGTTTTAGTTAAGCTAATGGTTCAGCGGTGCCTGAGGCCTGTTTATACTCAGCACATCTAACAGATTCATGCCTTCCCTGCCCCCGAGGCCGGACCTCTCGTGTAGCCTCGGCGTTAGGTTGTGCACCTCCAAATTTTTGTAACTTGGCGCAGATTGCGACCTTGATATGAAGTTGTTCTCCACAAAGAACATTGCCTGCACTAACATCAAATCACTGTTTTACTTGGACAAGGTTCAAGTAAAACAGTGTGGTTAAATGCAGTGTTGTTAATGTTTATTCGGTAACTGAAAACAGCATACAAGGGCGAGTTAATTGTCCAAGCTTGTGGTAAAAACAAGGATTTTAGTTTCTGTTTCCATCACATACAGCATAATTAAAGTCTGAAACAACTACTACAATACAGTCAGCATTTATTCAGTGAAACAAAGTTTTTTTTATATGTCATTTTAAAAGATCCATATGGGTTTCAAGGTTGTCGGCCCCTCTGTGGACTTTGCGAGTACTGCACCTACATCTCCATCAACTATAAAAGGGTACAGCGCCTCTATGCGGCACTACAGGGGTAGAAGGCAGGATGGTCCCCACATTATATTTAGAGCCACCTCCTCCACCAAAGAGAACCAGAAGCCAGTGGATGAAGGTTAGTAAAGAGAAAAACATCACGCTGACGTTGCAGACCGTCAATCCGATTACGTCTGTCCATGTACAGTAAACGTAGCTAGTGACAGCATTTTATAAAAACCTAACAAAATGGTCAGAAATACTTCTGCAAGGCGCTGACCATGATATAGTTTTCGAAAACAATGTACTGTTTAAATAAAAAATTAAAATTATTAACAGCAACATATTCAATAAAAATGATTTTAAAATCCAAATGCCATTTGGTGCCAAATTAAAACAAGACATGCAGCTCAACAATATTAGGTACCAGCTTGAAAAGATTTTGGACTTCCTTTATTGTATGAGAGACAATATCATATAATGGTTCATGTTATATGTTTTTAAGAAATAATTGTTCTTGCATTAAACGTATAATTGGAGGATTTTCATGATTTTTTTTGAAAAGCTCAACTCTGTACCCGCTCCTGAGAGGGAACGCCTATTAAACATGTGAGAGAGCACAAACTTTAGCACGTTCTGTTTAAAAATGGCTGTTTTCATCACTCATACAAGCTTACTTTCCAGAAGCAATTCTTCCTCTGTGTCAGACTCACCGCCAGTAAGTGAAAAAACAAGTACGTAGGACGGCCTTACATAAACATATCACCAGGATGATTGACAATTAGGAGGACCTCTTATTTTGATGATCCATCTGGAAAAAGAAGATCTTCCACTATACCATTAAATACTAACTAATTTTTTTATGTTATATTACCACACAAAGTTATGGAAAAAAAACAAAAGTTAACTAAATGTGATCTTTATACCAAGTGAAGATGAATCCTCCTACCTTCCTCTGATACAGTTCCTCTGGGGTGGTGGACCTCAAGCTGACCATTCGGTAGTTCTTGATAACCGTTCGGGGGCGCTTGCGTGGCGGTGCAAAGCGTTCCATCTCTGTCACGTAATACAAGCCCTGCTTGACGTATCCAAAGTAGCGGGCCTTCGCTGAGGACTCTTCATCCGAATCAGAGTCTGCGCCGTCATCTCCTTCCTCATCCTCGCTTCTTGCTTCACTGCTGAGATTGCTGTCGAAGCGCAGACGCTTCTGAGCAAGCCTGACTTCGCACTAAATGACAACGACAAAAAGTTAACAGGGTGGATGTAGAGAAGATAAAATAATCCAGAACTTAAGGCTGCCTTTAAAACCCAGGTTTTATTATTCCAGGCTTTATTATCGATAGGACTTAGGAATCTGGGATGTTCTGACTAATTTTTTGTTTCCAAAGCAATGTCAACATTTTAGCTTTGAGTGTGGATTGATACCGATATTGACCCAATAACGCAAAGGCAAGAACCCTTGCCAAAGTATATCCTTTCATTAAATTTGGAAATTTTGCTCTGTTTTATAAACACTAAGAAGGAAAGCAGCAATAAATGTTCTGTTTTCAAAAATGGCAGCTTTGAGAGGAGAAGAAAATACAACTATTGTTGGTAGAAATGTATTAATAACTGCAATGCTTATAAGGTTTAAGGTTAAAATATTTTGTTTCCTTCTTACAAATATTACTGCTAAAACATAGGACTTAAAAGGGGGAAAATAAATGTTTCCTTCTGCATATTTTTGCATAATGACCTTCTGATGAGGCATATGGACATTTTTTTGCCAGTATTAAATGACAGGAGGACCACGGTACATTTTAATGTAGCAATGCTGATGGTAAACATTTGAATTTAACCCATCCTTTTCTATTTAACAGGCTGTCAAAGCATGAAATGCAAAGTCTCATAAAAGTACCTTTTTCCACAGGTTTTAAACTGATTGTTTTCCTTTTTAGTTACCTCAGCTGCAAAATGTTTGCATCATCACTACAGTTTGAAATTATTCCACATTTTTTTGGACAAATAGCACACAATGAGAAGGTAAACTTCAAATGAAGGTCAATGTTTATACAGCAGGAGCACAGATGTGGCTCTAAATAAAAACTAAACCATTTCTGTCTCTATCTCTATGTTAAGATAGGCTGATAATATATTGTTAGAGGAAATTAAACCTTCACAAAACCAAGCAGTCAAAAGCTTAGTGGTTGAATTAAATGCAAAATTGTATGATTTAGTTATGTTTCCCTCAATCTTTATTAATCAAAAACAAGGATGCTTGATTAGGGCTCTTAAGACCTGAATCAGTTCCTTTATTTTCATTGGTTCAAGTTGAGACTGAAGAAGCCACTTCTAGTTGAGACGCTGTGTGAAATATTAGGAAAAAACGAGAGCAAACCTCAGATCAGAAGTTTTTAAAGTTAAAATTGAGTTAACATATTCAATGTGAAAAACTAAAAATTGCAACTTTAAAAAAGAAAAAAATTGATTTCATGAACAAGATGGCAAAAGCAGCTTTAAAATTAGATGGGACAGGGCTGGTTTTTATGGGAGTTTTTTTTACATAAATCTTGGCCAATTATTTCCTGATGTAAGGTTACAGCAGTTTGACAGTCCTTCTCTTTTTGGCAGACTTTTCAATTCATGATACATCAAATGTTTTCAGCTGTGGATAAGTCTGAACTACAGCAATGCCAGTTCAACACCTAGGTTCTTGTAGTGGATGTGGAAATATATGCAAAGCTTTCCCTTGTTAAACAGTCTTCTAGGTGTATTTCGGTGACTTGAAAGGTTAAAGCAGCTGGTTTCATTAAAAGCAGAGTATTCACTGTTTATTTCTTTTGTGTGTACATGTTCCATAAAAGAGGAACGAAATGGTGACCTGGTGGGAACTAAATCATTTCAGTAAAATTGGAGACAGCTGTTCAGCACAACAAAATGCGGCAGATGTTTGATGAGCAAAGACTCTTGGGCAAGTTTAGGCTATTGAAAATATAAAAGTGTCTTTGTTCTATGGTGAAATGTTGATAGGCTTTTAAATCTGATTGTACAAGTTGTGTTTTGGCTAAGTCATCGCTTAGGAAAACACATCAAACTGATTTTCCACATCTTTAGCCTCACCACAACTAAACCTTATAATTTTTCTTTAACTGCTTAAAATTTCTTGCAGACATATTTTGCTCTGCTTAATGTTTGTAAATTTCTTTTTTTTCTTCACCTGCCTTTAAATTTCTCTTTTCGTTAGTTTATCAAAAATAAATGTCACAAATATTTATATCTTAAATTACTAAAATCAACTTTCTGATGTGTGTTTATACCTGAATGGATGAAAACATTTGTCTTTAATATATGAAAATGGGGGAAGAGCACACTTCTCCATATTGCACCTAAGATTTGGTGAAGGACCAAGGGGATGTCTGAGCTCTTCAAACAACAGCTTAAATTTAAGGCCTAATATTACTTTCCGGATCAGAATGGAGGTTACAGTGCTGCTCATAAAAAAAATAATAATCAGCTTTTCAGATTCAAAGAATGTGTGTTAAAGCTACAGTGTGTAATCTAACGTCCAGACTTTACAAACAAAACAAGATTTAGCCCGTCTTCCTCACTCTTTTTACAGCCTAATCTGTAAAAAAGTAGTGGCTAAATATTAACACAGCTGATTTTATTCTTATATAACTTGCTTTAATTGCGTTTTATTTCTTCATTTCAATATTTTTTTTATTACAGGTTACTGTTTTCTTCTGAAATCGATCAATTTTTTTATGTCAAATATAAACAAAAAAAATTTATTGAGATCTGCATTCATTTTTTCCTTTTCTCTTACACATCATCCTAATATCCTAATGGGGGTCGTATATTAGGACTGGTGAAGAACTCCTAAAAAGAAGTCCTAAAAGGAGGAAAGCTGTAATCTACATCTTCCAATAATGGATGCTAACCTGAGACCCACAATCTGTGCACATCCCTCAAAGTGACATTTACCTCCAGGCTTAGGAAGCCCCCTTCATGTGCAGCAGTGACTCTTGGCGAGGGCTCAAACCATTCACAGGATTTCCCCAGAAGGTTGCGTAACGTCCTGACGGAGGAGACGGTGACCGACCCAGAGCAACGAGCCAAAATCAAAACGTTGTCACTCCACCAGCTCACGTCCACCAACGGGTAGTACTGCTCCTTATCTGAGATCAGAGCAGTTACAAACCAATGGTCAATCAATGAAGATCTTTTTTCTTTTTATTCTCTTTGAACACATTTGTGCACTTTATATGCTTTTAATCCGCTTATCCAGAAAGTAATTTTTAAGGAACTTGTCTGCTTCTCTCCCAGACATATTTACATGCAGAGCCAAGAGACATCACTTGTCATAAGGACATCTGCATGGATTACTGCTCACACAAGATGTGATAGCTGTCACCACAACTAGCCTTAAACTGTCAAAATAAGATTACAAACAAATGCACAACCGAAAAATACACACATCAAATGGCCTGTTTACTGAAGGAGGAGCATTTTAGAAAGCCTTGCCGTACACCATGAGCTTTGTGTTTGTGAAAACTGTAATTCAATAAATAAACTTTGTCAAAAATCATTAAATTGTGTCCAATGTGGACAGCCATGTCAGCGACAAAGTACTCTCTTTTCACAGCTCGAGGCCAAAATACCTTTTATTTTCTTCCTCCTCTCCAGTGATGTCTTCCACTCTGGGTTGATCTCCTCAAATCCTGGCTGCGGGGCGGACCGGAAAGATGGAGGCACCAAAGCAGGGAGGGGAAAGAAGAAAGCGTGGAAAAGGGGATGGGGGAAGAAATTAATCTGCTAACCCTGTTTACACTCACAGCACACATGAGCTCCACCAGCGGCAGAGCTGAACATATGCACACGCTGCATTAATCAGCAAAACATTTGATAGAATTTAAGTCCTTCTATAAGCCACCTCACATTATGTGGGATGGGAGCAAACACTTAAAATCCTTCTCCCCACGCTCAAAAACCTTGTCCAAAAGAAGATTACATTAATACTGTCAGTAAAGTACAGAAGGTACCAAGGTTCTCAAAAATAAACCCAAAGGCCACATTTAAAGTATAAATCAGATCAGTACCTGCTGGTCCTGGCCCCAGGTGGCCCTCTGTTTTAGAGAGGGAACATCCCAGATGGACAAACGCCCAGAGAAGTGGATGACAGCCAGGAGTGTCCCATCAGGGCTCAGACTCATGCGAAACACACCATCCTACACAGTAAGAATACAAACACATCCTGCTTATAAAGTATTTGTTCATTTTTTATTATAAAGTGAAGTATTCAGCTTTAAGAGAAATGCTGTACCTTTTCCTCTCCTTGTCTGGAAAAGAATCTCAGGCTGGGAATCCTAAAGAAACCTCTTCTGTGGTTCTAGATCCCAAATGTACATAGATATATGTTTAATTTGTCAAAGGAATTAACTGTTTAAAAGAAAATTGGGTGTTACAGACGTCTCACCGAACCAATTTCATCCTCATAGCTGGTGACCTGTTTGTAGTGAGGCGAGCCAGAGAGCGCCCTCCAGGCAGTGATGCCGCAGCAGGAGGCCTTGGATGCACCATTATCTCCTGATTCACAGCCTCCTACCAGCAGCAATCTATACACAAACACATACATTAACTGGGACCATTTTGATGATTGGGCCTTTAACCTTGTCAGCCTTTAAACCCAACTAAAGCCAAAGCGATTTCCCACAACTGAACTCCAATTTAAATGCCTACCAGATTATGCATTATTCATCAGAGGAAAGGATTGGCTTAAATAACTTGTTAAAGTCAGTTAATACAAAAATAACAATAGAAATGTATTAGTGGTTCCCTTCATTTATGAAATGTGGCTTTTCAGCTCAAGACTACCCCCTGGTGTAGAGAAGCTGAACACTACATTTAACCAAAATTATCTAGGGGTTAAATTGCCAGCTGTTACCGACCTTATCTGCATTAAGATAGTTGGTTTTTTTTATAGTTTATCTGGGTTTTTTGGGGGGGGGGTTTTGTATAGCAATTGTTTGCATGTTACCAACCCATAAACAATATTGATTTAGAGAGGATGTTTCATGCACAACAAAAGGAAAACTTTATGGAAGACAAATGATAACAAATAAGAGAAAATTTAGACTGGAAAAAAAATTAAACAAACAAGGTTATGAATGGAAAAGAACCTGGAATATAAAGAGATGTGTAGTTAATGGGTGACATTGGTTTGAAGGACTGAGGAAATGATGACATTAATGATGAGAAGACAATAAGTTGTGACTGGAGGTGGACATTAAGCAGTGGCTGTGTCTTAGTGGTCCACTGCACACTGGCCTGCCCTCAGATTTAATGCTCAAACTGAAGAGGATAAGATGGGGAACTAAAATCAGTAAGTACTATCCTTTAATACAGATTAATAAAAACTTATTTCACTTATTTTAAACTTCAGCTCTATTAATTGCATCTTATAGTATATGTTAGTCTTACTTTTAATAATCTATGTTTTTCCTCTTTTTGATATATAGCAGAACATATAAATGTATCCTCCATTTATAGATAATACTATTATAAATGTGTATTTACATAAAAGCCAACTTATGGAAATTTTTATACCCTTAAAAAGGAAAAGCAGCAAACTTAGAAATTTCTAATTAGAGAATCCCAGATCCTGATAAGAACGACACAACAAAGAAACTATAAACAGCATCAATGCATAAAATACAGCTAAATTATCTCCACATTTAACCATTAAGGTATCAAAATGTCGATAAAACAAAACATATAATTATCTAAAGTCAATTTAAAGCCAAATTAAAAGTTTTTTTTCCTCCTCAACTGGCATCAGATCCTCAGGAAATCTGTTCTGAATATGCACATCAGCACATGCACTTTCAAATATATATTCCAGTTAATTTAAAGCCGTTTTTTTTTTTTCGTCTAATAACCCATTCCCTAACCTTCCTTCTTTCCTTGTCTGCTTTCTATTCTTTCTGATGCTGACCCAGTTTTTCACACAGCAATCATTAAAGTTTCATCTCATCTATCAGTTGGCAAACATTTGACAGTAGCTGCCAAAATCCATTATGGTTTCACGCCAGATTTCACCGGCCAAGCAGCACATTTGCAGTGCACAGCCTATGGACCCAGGGGAAAACCTGAGGTCACAAATATCAGCCAAATATAATTAACCACAACCTCCGAACGGGCAGAGGAGAGTTTGAAGCTGCCGCCGTGAATTCCTGCAGGTATTTTATTAAAGAGATGGGCTCATTCATTCTTAAGTACGTTGGCCCAATTTAACTTAACAATATCCTCTTCCTGAGGAGAAATTCTTGATGAAAAACCTTTCAGTTGAAGCTTGTATCAGAATCTATTGAAGTTCTTTTCTTAAGTGTGATGCATCTAAAATCAAAGTAGAAAGAGTTTTTATTCCAGTACAGAGAAAAAACATAGGTGGCAAACAAAGTTCGTCTTCTGCATGTAGGGTGGCTATGACAGGGATGGTGACTGGGGTGAAGCTTAGCATGGCAGAAGTTAAGTTATCAATTAATGGTGGTATTTGGCTCAACAGTATACAATGCCTCTTAAAAATATTCCTTCCACTTTAAGCTTTTCACATTTTATCGTTATTTAGCAACAAATTTCAACATACTGTATAAGAATGAGGTCCAACAGATCAATACAAAGTGGTGAAGAGAAGGGGGAAGGACTTGTGGTGTAATTGCTACTACCTTTGATGAAGCATGATCAGTTTCCTTCTCCCTGGGAATGTTTTCCAGAATATATATAATTGTGCATGCCAGAAAAGTTTTACTCTAGTATAATCTAAGCAGGGCTCTTTCCTCTAATTGTTGTACCTATCTGACTTTTTGCAAATTTAACAAGACTTCTCAAGCTTCCTTCTTTCCAAACTCCCATAAACAGCAGATTTGCTAAATAGAGGACTGATAATTGTCTTTTCTATAGAATCTGACACCTGATCCAGGCTTCTCTGCAGCTCCTCCACAACTTCTAAAGGCCTCAGCAGCTTCTCTCATTAATTCTACTGTTCCCTGTAAGGTTCAAGGAACAGCAATGTCTTGATCTAATGAATTTTGTAAATTACACTGTCATTGGTCTGAACCAAAAGGGTAATAAGTGTGCATGTAGATAGGAGCCAGATTGGTTGGTCTACTGGTACAGCCAGAACCACTATGAGCTGAATCCAGCTGTGTAGATGATCAAGGGATTCCAGAGAACACCTCCAACATTGGCTCTACCCTTTCATCCTCTGCAACACTGTCTTGTGTACTTTGGACCCACCGTTTTCTGGGTCCTAAGCTGAAGCCCAGGAGAGACTGTACTTGTTGCAGTAACTTAAAAAAAAATACCCTCCTAAGAGCTACTAACCCTCTAAATCATCATCATTAAGTCTGACTTCTGCACATCACTAAACATAATAAAACTACAAGGAGCAATTAATCTATAGAGACACCACAGGGCTGATCTTGCCTCCATCAAGGACAGGGGTCTGCAGCTTGCAGCTCCATCTGCAAGTGGCTCTTTGGACCCCCTACAATGCCCCTTAATAATGAATAAAAATTATATAAAGAACCAGCTAATGTCATATAACAAAAACAAATCTTAGAAGCTATTGTGGGTTTTTATAGGAATATCGGATTTAACTTTTACAACACTATTTACTAGTTATGGGGGGTTTTTTGCGTTTTTTTATATGCTAAAAAAAAAATCACAAATTTCCTACGACAGATATTAATAGAAGTTGAGATTCACTAAAGGTTCATGTAATATTTGTGGCTCTAAAGTACTCAGGACAAAATGACTCTTTGGATTTTTAAGGTTGCAGACCCCTGATCTAGCACTTAAAGATCTAGGGTCAGAAAAAGAACAGATCCCAGGCATCCTGACACAAACTGTTAGACCAGAGGTCTTTAATATGGTGGTTATGGATTGTGGAGACTCGAAGACTAGTTTTGTAAATTAGTCGGCACAGAAGTAAGGTCACCAATGAACAGAATTAAACCACATATCCTGAGATTTCAAGGGGTATGTGCATTTAGTTAATTCTATTTTAATTTTTCCTTTATAGAACAATTCCATGTATATGCCGATACTGTTCCTTTTATCTTTGATTTTATATTCTCTAATGTTTACATATTTATATTTATTTGCAGTACACCTTTTAGCCCCTGAAACCAAATTCATACTATTGGCTACTAAAAGTTGATTTTTAATCTTCTCTATTTGGATTGAGTGGGACACTTAATGGGCTGAATACCTCTTTAAAATTAAAGTGGAACCTATAATTTCAGGAGCAGATTGGGGTTAAGTCATACTACTAAATAGAAAAAGATGGTTTAGATCTACCAACAACAGCACCTTCATTTTAGATTAGAACAAACTGGAACTACATCCATTTGGCAAAGATTTTAGGGTGAAACAAATATTCACAAAATGCAATCTGCTTTGCAATTACATCTAATGTAGTTCCATCAAAGTAATGAGGATAAAACATATTTAGCAGCAAATTGACGGTGCCGTAGATCTGAAATGATGAAACAGCTGGAAATCATTCACCAACTTTAAGCTTTAGATATTTCAGTGTTTTTGGAGACACATTGCGGGATGAAAAATGATTCAAAGGATTTGTAAGGATGTCTGAATATAAATGTATATGGAAAAACACTCTTAATCAAACACCGCACTAATAGAAGAAGTCTTGGACGATGGAGTCCTCAAGAGGAAATAAATTCTTCCAGGGTGTCAAGGGAAGGCAGCAGATATTAATTAGGCTGCCACTGATGGATTAAAAGCTTAATGCTTGCAAATATGTTCATATTTCTAAAAGCCCCTCATTTCATTTATATTCAACAGGCTTTCCAGGCTCATGGAGGGTTTGAATGTCTGTAATTTGTTAACGTACCGATGACCTGGGTGGTAAACGGCTGAGGTGATCCCGTGGGAGTGGTGCGTAGAAAAGGTAAAGGTGTGGTTCTCCTGGAAGTTTTGATTGGTTCCCACGCTGAAAGAGCAAAAAATAAAATCACATGAACCTAACCAACAACTCAAGCACATTTACAATTAATACATCATAATAATGCTCATTCTGGTGCTTAGAGGCAGATTTCGGCTGGTTTCGGTAAGATAAAGCAATTCTCACCCCGCTGCAATTAAAATGAGACGTGGTAATCTATATCTAATTAGGAACGACAATTTAAAGAGAGTGCTACATGTGGTGTAATTTGTGCTGGAATATCTTGCTGGGGAAAACTGTTCTTTGCTTTGTAAACGTTAAGAAGAGAAAAGGGTTTGTAAAGAAAAGAAGAACAAAGGAAGTAGCTGCGGGATATTCATGATTGACAATTTAGCTTCTTCCAAACAGAGAGGCGCCTCACCTATAATTCTGAAAATCTAATTTAAGGTATTTAGCGACAACAGGATGCAGTCACACAAGGAAGAGTGAACGTGAGCTTCATGCTGAAAGGGGAAGCTTCAAAAACACCTTCAGAGGAAATCTGGGAAAAATGTCTCCCTCATCTTAATTACCTACTCGCACAGACATGCTGCTACCTCAAAGGCCGTTTCTTTGGCTGTAATAGGAGGATAAATCAGCATTTCCCTCACTTTCTGGCAGACATCAATACTGAGAGATTTGAGAGAAGCTGTAAGAGGGCTGGGCATTGGGCGTGATCAGGATGCAGCACACATAGCTCAGTTTTACCTTGTGTTTTGGAGTGTCACAGCTCTATGGCTTTGTGTGACAACAGCAATGAAAACGAAGAAGGAAAGGTCTGAGTAAAAAAAAAAAGAGGTAATGCTAGATCTAACTAGGAACAAAGAAGCCTTGAAATAAAAACTTAATTCCACATTCAGAAATGTCTCCAAAGAGATCCATGAATGGATCTGGATTTTCTTTTTGCTTTCAAAAACAAGAAAACAAAGACACTGTGCTATAGTCGACTTTTGAGTAAAGGTTGTTTTATTGTTTTTGAGGGAATATGTTGCAATCTTAATCAGTTAAGTCTATAACTCTGAGCCCCAGACTTTCTCCTTCACTACACTAGAAAAATATAATAAGGCCATTAATGGATCTCTGCCGATGCTGCCAGCACATAAACAAGTTAACCCAACTCAGCCATTTGATTCAGATGTTCACCGGATGATTAGAACAGCAGTTTAAGTAGCCTGTTTCAAATGTTAAGTCAGTTAAACAATAATTACTAAGAGTAATTCAAAAACAAGGGAATTAAAATGCTTTGTACTGCATCTAAATTAATTAGAATTCCACAAACTAAAGTTTTGAACCACGAAATAAAAGGATCCAAGATTTATAAAAGCTGTGAAATCACCCTTAGAGGGAAAAACTTCAATCATCAGAATAAGTTGACTCTTAATTCAAAGTTTTAGCCTAATAAACCAAAGATTATTAACAGCTCTGTGAGTTAAAGAGAGTTTTGTTTTTTGTTTTTTATCATTTTTGTAACCAAAAGCCCATTTAGGGAAAAAATACCCAAATTATCTTTTGCTAAAACAAAATAAGCTTAAATTTTATAACTTTCCCTTGATATTTCTGAACACTTTTTGATACCTGTCAAGGAGGAGGATGGTCCTCCATACTGCATGAAAACATTAGCATTCTAACTGCAGATTGCTCAGATGTCAGCCGACAGAATTGACAAAGAATCCTGGATAGGTGTGAAAAAGTCTCCAAAACGGAGCAAAGGTCCGGTTACCTTTGATATTTTTCTAGAAATGTTAAAGTGGAACATTAATCTTCAACATTTCACTACAGAAACACAGTAAAGTGTTATTCTAGTTTCATTAATGTATAATCATGATATAGAAAATGAAACTATCACTATCAGAATTTATCAAATGTTAGAAACACACTGTAGCATTTTATGTTTTGTTTTTTGTTTTTCTTAACTAGGGCTGGGCAATTAATTGCATTTGCAATATAATCACATTTGAACAAAACCCATTTTTCAAATAGCAGAGGAACTCAGTTTTAGACACATTACATTTAACAAGAGTAAGAAACAAAATTTCTCCCTCCAGCCCTTTAGGTGGCGGTAATACACTTCAAGTGGGTTTGCCGCCACACAGAAGGGAAGAAAGTTGGAGCTAGCACGTGAATCCATGGCCCAGTCCCAAACCGGCCCCTAAGCACTATAGGCTGATTTATTCTCAGAAACCAGGTCATCCCCGTGTGTCGCAGTGAAAGCAAATGTACCCTCGCCCCTGCCGCCTCCGGTGCACCTCTCCAAAATTGTAGGTGACTGCAGACAGGAGGCATCTGATTGGTCAAGTCTACATCCGCTCTACACTATGTGTGTTTCCTGTTTGTTTGTATAAATGCCATTACGGAAAACAACTTGTGAAGTTGGACCAGCTAGAAGAGCGAGGTGTGCTGGAACGCTGGGACCCTTTTTCCACCTGGATCCCCGCTCTTTTTCGCCCTCATGTCCCTCCTTTGTCGCACAAACTTGTCCCCACTTCTTCACCGCCTCAGCGGTATCTAGACCCATAGCTAGTCCGTGAATGTCCCTCTTGCGTTGTGGCGCGGAATAACAGCGAAGACCATGCTTCAATATTGGGCATAAATCAAATATCTGCGACAAGCTCACTACAACACAGTGCTGTGGGAGGATAACCTGCCCTTAACCCTGAGCACTGACTCTCCGTTTGTGCAGAGGTTTCACCACATTAGCTGCATTCCCAACCCATTATGTGGGATGGGAATGCACACAGTTCATGAAAAGAAGGCAATTAATTCCAAAAGGAAAGGTCTTCTATAAAATAGTTTTATTTGACCACATATATTTGTCTAAGAAAGGGGCAAATGTTTGTTATGTTAACTGCGTCAAAGTGCTACATGGGGTGTCACTGTGTTGTCATAGCAACGACTGCTTTCCTTTTCTGTTGGAGGGAAGAAGCCGTCCCGTTCTCGCTTATATCCCCCCACCTTCCATCAAGGGGCCTTTGACAGCTGCGAGTGACGTCATTGCCGGCTTGGGATTGGGATAATGTATGATTGTAGAAGTATATAAGTTTTAACATTAAGGTTACAGTGAAATTCTGCAACAATGACTTTGCAAGCAAGCTTTCAAGGTCATGAAAAAACTGAAACCCTGAAGTGAAAAATCTGAATTCTTGTGGTTACTGCAAAGGAAAGTCACAATAAAAATCACAAACACAATATCTGTTGAAAATATTCAAATTTTCGTTTGTTTGTTTTTTTTTGGCTAAATGGTTCAGCCAATTTACAACAACAGTGTGTTTCTAAATTATAATGAAGCAGTTGTGCCGCTCACCTCACAAGGTAGCTTTTGAGCGCACCACTGTATGTGATCACAAGAAGTTCTGCGGACCACTGAGCGCTTGCCGTGTACTCCAAGAAGATGAGTCCTGCAACTGCACAGCTGAAATCTCCAGGAAAACTCACCGCCTGGATCAGGAACAAGGCAGTTTAAAAAATATCAGGTGCAACTCTAATCAGATATTAGAGTAAAAATATGTAACCATTTAGTTTACCTATAATGTTTTTCCACTAAACACATAAATGAAATGAATCTAAAATTCAAAGCCTGAAGATGAAAAAGGCCATAATGAGAAAAGCAAGTTGTGCAAACAGAAGATAAGCAACAACTTAAGTTAAAGAGAGAGAGGAGCCAGGGAGATGGAGGAGGGAGAACAGAAGTGCACATATCATTTTTTTCTTTTTTTGGCACATGCACACTTTCTGACAAAATGACTTCTTTATCAGGCTTCTACCCAGAAATAGCAGCAAGTCAGTGGTGTGCACACTTAACAGTGACAAACAAGAGGAAGAGCTGAAGGTAGCTGATGTAAATGTGTGAGCACGCTCGCTGTCTGCACACAACAAAGCAGAATTTCACTAAAGGAGCGTGGATCAGAGTCTTTCAAAGGTAAGTGTGGCTGGGGAGAAGGACGAGTGTCTGCGCTCGCCGTCTGCCAGAGCCAATAGAGGAGTGGAGGAATTGACGGGCAGAAAAGCAGGAATAATAATACAGTGCACAGAGAGGACATCAAATGAGGCAGGGATGGAAGATGGACTTGATGGGAGCATGGGGAGAGATACTGACTGAGACATGCAAGGACGAAAGTAATATAATAGCAGACACATGGGGGGGAGCCTGGGAGAGTAGGATAAAAAAAAAATGAAGACGGGAGATGATGAAGAAGGGGTTAAAAGAAGGAAAGGGACACTATGAGCAGAGAAGAAGAAGCAACAGACAATGAACTAAGGAGCCAACATGACAGATGAAAGGAGCCCAGAGAGTGTCTGACAAGCAGACATGAGCTTCAAGATGTGACAGGAAGCTCAAAGTGTTTCACAGAGCAGCAGTACAAGTCTCGCCTGACTCGTCCCAGGAGGATTACGGATGTCTGTATCCTCATAACCATCTCACTGTACAACTACAAATAAAGCAGCACTGATGTCAGTTTAGGCTAAATAAAGATTTTTCAGAAATGCTGACCAGCAGGTTTTGGTCAATATTTTTGCATAAAACTAAAACACCATGCCTTTTTTCTTTATTTCAGATTAAACTGGGGGAAAATAAGAGTTAATAAGACATGCATCAATCAGGTTTTTCTAGGCCAACACTGGTTTCTGTTTGTCTATGAGGCCTACGTTGCATATCTCAACTTTTTTATGCAAATAAAACACATAACAGCATTCCATGTAATTTTCACTTGTATTGGGTATGAATCCAAATTAAAAATTTAACAATTAAAAGATTAGTTACATCTCTGGGTCATAGCATATCACCAGGCAAACTTTATAAAGACATATTTTATAAAATTAGCCGTTTCTGGTATTTAGTTTCACCTAAAGTGGCTAAATTTTCCTATAGGCATCTTGCGATGGAGGAAAATAAGATAATAATTTCGCAGGATTTATAACAAGATTTGTACCTGTTCCAGACAGACATCTAGGTTAATGGGCTCCTGTCTGTTATAGTAACAGTGAAAAACATGAGACAGAAAGAGCTGTCTAGTGTGTGCATAAAATCAATTGCAGTACTTCAGTCACATAAAGGATTCAAAGAGGTTTCAAAAGAATTACAAATCAGCTGCTGCGCTACACAGGAAATATTCTACAAGTGGAGAACAATGAAAAACAATTGCAAACATAAGCAGGTATTAGAAGATCTATGGCAGGTTTTTGCTACAGTTTAAAAGAAACAACATGCCTGTGCAGCATGTTTGGAATAAATTCTTCCTTCTTATAAAACAGACAAGAGTTTACCGGAGAACATGTACACAAAGGACAGGACTTAAAGAATATTGTTCTTTGGCATGACTGGGAAAATAAATTTAAAAAAATTAAAAGAGAACTTTATACCAACTGAAAAGCCATGAGGAGGTGTAAGGATATAGGTTGACCTGACCAGCTTAAAATCAAAGAATCTGCTATTTTGGATGCATCACAAGGTGTTTAAGAAACATCTGAGACCAAAGCTACATGTAAGCCAACAAGGACTTGCTGTGAATTAAGAAGAGAAAACTTCTGGGCCCGGAGTTTATTTCCTTACTGTACGACAAAAGCAATCTAAAATTAAGTTAACATTTCTTAGAATAAGTGTATTTACCCTTAATTTAAGTAGGTAAATAAATTTCAATGGAGTATTTTTACCCTTAAAATAAGATAATAAGATATCATACACTTTAAGAGAGTGCAGTTGTTTTTCTTTCCTATTTTAAACTTTGTATTCTATTAACAAAGTGTCTCACTTATATGCTCAATTAAAAAAAAAGCACTTATTTCAATGAAAAACTTAGAATGCACTTTTTGCAGTGTATGCTGTAATGTTGCCTGAAGAACCAATAAAAGAAACCACTTAAGTGACAGAGTGATGTCAGGGATTGGTTTAAGGCTAAATGAGTAATTCACCCAAGTTATTTTAAACAAATTAAAGATTACTGTAGGACCAGGGTGCCAAGTTTCCTTAGTTTTCTACTAAAAATACATTTTTATTTCTTCAATAATAAGTAAAACTAGGCTATCTATTTAGGTTCATGAGTTACGATTAATTATATTTTTCAAGCATAAAAAATCAGCAAGCAGATTATTGTATGTTTTTGAACAAAAAGAACAATGAGAAAAATATAAATGCTGCTTATTGATGTGTTTGAAGGCAAAACATTATAGAAACTTCTCAGAAAGTCAGGAGAAACATGATTACCGGAGGGATGACAAAGAGTTCACTTCCAATGAGGTCAAAAAGGCGAACAGTGCCTGTGCTGTCTGCATAGGCCAACAGAGTGCAGTCGTAGCTCCATGCCACCTTTCGCCACTGAGGGTTGGGGTCCTTTGGCACTGGGGCAAAATAGAAAGACAATGATTAATCCCAATTTTGGAAGTTAAGCATTTAAAGAGCCTAATGATGAATACATAGGAGAAAGGATGTGATCAATCTTACAATTCAGACCAATTTATAGAAAATTAACATCAAGAATAACATCTTAGTGATTGTGTCTTAAAGCTTAAAACAAGAAGAATAAAGGGAAAAGAGAGCCAGGGAGGGAAAAAGGTGGGAGGGGAACAGGGATCATAAATTCCGCTTTTACTGAAGTGTGGGACCGATTTAGGAATCTGCTGGCTCAGCAGAGCTGCGAGGGTAACCATATCGCAATGATAAAGCACAGCCGTGCCTGCTGGCATGTGCTCAAGGCTTCGCCATCATCCTTCCTTCTGACAGCAGGACTGGGTTGGGCTGGCTGGCCTCTGGTACGGCGCCTGTTTTGAATGCTTAATTATTTTAACATGAATTAAACTGTAACAAAAACAAATAAAAGAAAAAATATGTGTTGAGGTTAATTACTGTGCACCCTGCACAGAATCAACAGAAACCAAACAGATTGTATCATTTCTTTGAACACTGACTGATTGCTGGTGGCTCTTTATTTTTTATACATTAGTGATGTAGTTCAGAAATTGTATCCATGCGATATTGCTTTAAAAAGGCAAGTTGCGTTTTTGTGGATAATCTCCCATGACAGAGCTTCTGGCATTGGTTGGGCTGAAATTCTTGGTCGTGTAATGCTACTGCAACCCCTGGTGGGCAATAGTATAACGAACGGGGGCGCTGGATATTGTATGTCTGGAATTTGTAATGAAGAACTAATGGAAGAAGTGGGAGGCGAACCAGATAAAGAGAGGTAGGGAGAGGCTGGGGGTGAGACAATGAATCAAACACAAAGATTTAAAAAAAAAAAAAAGAAAAAGAAACATAATGATGGCTCACATTCTAGGGCAAATGTATAAGGAGCACATTAGGAGGCAGACAACTTATCAGAGTTCAGAGAGAAGGAAGCTGTAGAGATCTGTCCTTCTCTTGTTCTTTTTCATCTTTCAATTTAAATTCCTCCTTCATGACTTCCCTCAACAACTTGCCATCTCATCTTCCATCATGAATTGCAGCGAGCATGTTCTGGGCTCCATTTCCACATAGATGGGTTTTTTCTTTTTTTTTTGTTGGGGGGGAATTAGATGTTTCTGTGGCTTATATCTTTTTCTCCTCCTCCCTTTCAGCGATACTGGAGGCGGAAGAATTACACCCAATGACCCAACAGAAGCCTTCTATCTAAAGCCTTGCAGATGCATTTATCAGAGCTCAATGCTTATGAATTATGCACAGGGGTCTTGAGACAACTCTACTGTAACATATGCAGACAGGAGGGGGAGCGTGGGGGAGGGGGATGCATAGGTGAATGCGATGAGAGGAACCAAGAACATATGCATGCTCACACACTCTCATGCTGATCCATTAAGGGAAAATGGCATTAAAGGCGGGATCAGAGAGAAATCCATTACAACAAATCTCTGTGAAATGAAATGAAGTATGAGAAAAATGAAAAACAGAGAAGAAATGGAGAAGAAAGAAAAAAAAGAGGATGGAGGCTAGGGTTTAACACACGCCCAGGGGCTGCTGTTATTCACACTATGAACTATTACCAACAACGGATAAAAATGACGGCTAGCCAGAGCAGAACGAATATAGCGGGGAGGACCAAGGGAGGGGGATGATGACTAAAATTAATTAAAAAGAAATAAGGTGGAAGTACTGAAGACAGGTTACACCAAGTATTTTACCTGTAGCTGATTTGCATATGTCAAAATAAAGAAAAAAAAGTCCTAACCTCCAAAGAGACATTTGTTAAATTTGTTTTTATTATTATTAAATTAACTTAAGTCTCAAAGATAACTTGACTTAATATTTTATTTTTGCCCTCAAATGCTGGGGGGTGTCTACTAGGGCCGCTAAAACCACACCCACCCTCTATACTATTTTACTGCAACAGTTTTGAAGAAAAAAATACACTAAATATTATCTTTACATCCTGATTTTTAATTCAGGGATCAGTGAATGTTACGCATGTGTGACCCACGTTCAATGGGGAAACAGAAACACAGGTGTCTCTGAGGGCGAGCCTACACTGAAGGCAGTCACAAGAACATGAGGCGCAAAGAAAAATTGAAACCCAAATTTAATTCTGGTGCCACCATGCAATCACTAAAAGGTTGAAAGAATTTTTACATGTGTAGAACAGTACGTTTATGCGTTTAGAAGAAAATTAGGGAATTCTCTGTAAACCCTCTTTTTATTTTGTTTGTGCTTATGTTTCCTGAAGATTTATTGGAATTATTTAGGAAACAGAAAATGTTTTTTTTTTTTGCTTTACAAACTCAAAAAAGAGAATTGGTTTAAAAAAAAAAAAAAATGTGTGTTGTAACAAATTGAAAAAGTCGCTAACATTTTATTTCTTTCTTTTATTATTCAGAAACTGAAGCTTAATACTATATTTTTCCTTTCTCCAGTATTGTTTATCTGTTTTATTAAGGTACGGGTCTTAATAAAATCATGGTTCCTCAGCACTGTTAAGCAGCACTGCTGTAATCCATGCTGGTAAAATGTATTCAAGAGCTTATTAAGGTCAACAAAGGCTAATAGCTTAAGTTCAGAATCTGACTGGACCAGGGTCATTGCCGGAGATATGCAATTCATACAGTATGTGTCGTTTCTATGGTAATTTGGCCACAGATATTGAACTGAATGCAATAACACAGACGCAATACTTCAATATTAGAAAGAATCAAGAGTTTTTGTTTATTTTTATTATTTTCGTAAAGAACAGGGATAGTTAACTTGTTAGTTAGAGTATGCTAAAAGGATTTAGTTTTCACTCATCAGCCTCTACAACTACAGTAATACTACAGGAAGAGTGGGTCTTACCCTGACATTTCCCAATGACACTGCCAAAGTCATCTCTCACAGACCTGAGGAGGAAATATAAACATGATTAAAATTGTCAAGCAGGTGGGTTTACTCTGTGTAACAAGGACATGCATGCAATTGTCTACCACATATGTTCTGATTAACAGGGTGGTACCCACCTCAGCCACTGGATCAAAGAGGGGAAAACGCAAAACAAGAAGGCTGACCCTCAGCGTTGGCTGAAGAGAACTAAGATTAGCTTTACACAATGCAGGATTTTCAACAGGAACACACTGAGGTTTAGAATATTCATCAAAATATCAATAATATGGACAGAAAAGTTCAATCAGTTGTGTTGTATTATAATACTGACAAAAAGGTCTTTAAAAATCATCACTGGGTTTTTGACATACATCGTTTCTAGTTTTCAGTTACACCATCCTACAGGATATTCTTCTAAATCCAAAGGATATCAACAAAAGAGGCGATTTAAATGCACTGGTTACATTAAGCTGTTATGCTGTATGCCAACCAATTGTAAAAGTATGGACTGAAAAAATACTGGAGTAGAACCCAAAAGCGTCATAACTCAACAACCTAGAGCTAATACTTTCTAAAAATAGATCACAAAAAAGCAGCCCAGCTTCCCTAGCAGTAAAAGTGGTTGCTGCCCTTTTCTATGTAAGCAGTACTTTAGTTGAGGGGGGATGGCATCCGCCTTCTTAAATGACCACCTTCCCATACCATCCCCTGTGACATTTTATCACTGAATGTGTAATTTTCTAATATATATCAACCGGAATTTGCAATAATGTTGCCCTTTCAACTCTTCTGCAGGCTGTGCGCTTACGAGTAGTCTGACCAAATGACGGTGGCTCAGAGGGCAAATGCTATTTCATTTTCAACTTCAGTGGCGCAACCAGCGGAGCAGGTGACGGTGTTCTGAACAGCATCATGGCCAAGCAGCAAAGACAACACGATTTGATGGAATGTGGAAATAAGGAGGGGAGGGAATCTTTCGCAGGTTCCAAGTTCTAAGTTGCAGAGATCTCCCTCCCCTGCTTTTGAGAAACAATGTTTTTTACAATTATGCAAGTTTTTCCACATAATCATACCTGTTCTCTGCGATTGTGGTGCGAATTTCATAAGTCTGGGACAATAAATGTGAAAATAAGGAGGGGGGGGGAATCTTTGGCAGGGTTCAGGTTCTAAGTTTAACAAATAAAGTGTCAGGAATTATCTTGAATGGTGTTGATAGCAAAATCGGGAATTGCCATCCACTGAGCAGAGAATTTATTCATTGTACACAGACTGTAGCACATTGACTGAAACATGTCTCCATACAAGTAAAATAGCACTAATTTGAATTTATCAGTGAAACAAACCTATCAATTTTAAAGCATCCATGTATAAGAGATATGAAAACATTAAGAATATATTTAAATTGTCCCTTTTTGTTCATATTACAATCCGTTTTCTCATCAATGGGTGTAAGTTTAGGGTGATGAGCGCTCCCGTAACAGGGGAGGTAATTCTCGGCACAACATGCAGAATGCCTGTCGTCCGATCAAAGGTAAATATATTTCCACTCATTAATTGCCAGCATGTAGCCTAGCTTACTTTAAATTAGTCAATAGAAGCAATACTGATTTTCTGATAAACAATCTATTTTATAAAATAAATTCTCTAAATTAATATTTGAAAGGTGAGTAAAATTATTAGATTTTATATAGGCTTATTTCATTTCCAGGCTAATTGTAGTGTATTTGAATTTGTTAACAGTTTTTTTTTTTTTTTTGATTATGATATCCATTTGCAATTTTTTGTGAGGTTTTGTTCCAAATCTTAATTGATTCATTGCCAAAAGATTTTCCAAAGTAAAATCAAAGAAGTGGTCTACCATGACTATGAAGCTGATCCCAGTGGGAAATTTATCCTCTGCATTTGTCCCTAACTATGTAGGGGCAGTGATAGCCATGCCAGTCCAGGGACTGACTGCAGTTCTACTGAAAGGAGCCTTGGTCAAGGTCAATGACTGGCGTACCTGATATGTAACAACCATACCATGCATAGTGCTTTAAGTCAATAGACTATATTAAATAGGCTATGCATGCTTCCAAAAAAAAAAAAATTCCACAATCCCCCTTCTTTTTTTATATAACTTAACTACTGTATGTAATGTATCTAAAGTTTACCCCAGACAGGGCGAACATTTTGCCCTTCCCCGAATAGAACTCCCTTAAAGAGCAGAATAATTAGCATTGATACCAATACTAATTCAGACAATAATGAGACTTTAAATGTGTATATTATCTACACATATGATGGACCACAACCCTATAGTAATGAGCCTGCTGCACGCCCAGGAGAGAGGCCGGGGGAGAGTTAATGGCCAAAGGAGGCAGACTGAGTTGGGGTGTGAGAGCGATCAGTGGATTAGTGGAGGCAGTTTCACTTCAATAGTTTAGTCCAGGAGCATCCTGCTATTTTTCTGAACCACAGACGACATTCTGAGAGATTTTGCACGATGATCTGGTTTTAGAACCAGAAAACTGATTACAGTGCAAAACATCGGGTAGTAAGCATTGAGAAACACCACCTGTCGGTAAAATGTTTAATCCTTCATTCCTGCTTGTATGCACTTCTAACCTCTAGTTTCTGCTACATTGATTTTTAATCTGTGTTTCCTTTAAGCAGCACACTGCCTCGCCTGCATGCTTTAATCACACACTACATCAGTAGATTACAGTGTTAATCTCATGTGTGCTCCTAATGAAGAGGTAAACTTGGATATATCTGGAAAGAAAAACAACTATTCTCATAAGATATCTAGATTGCTTACTCTACAATTTACACCCAACAGTTTGACAAAGCATAGTTTGTTTCCAAAGAACTGACCAGCAGCAGTTAAAGTTGTGCTAAATGAATTCAAATGCTCTCCACTGAGTGATTACATTGTTACAACTGTACCTGCTTTAACTAACTGTTTTTTCTTTTCTCAGGTGCAAGCTGAACCTGCAGGGCTTTTTTTTAACGAGAATGAGATAAATCACCTCATTAATTAAAAAGACTCTATCTGCCTCACACAGGGCTTCTAAAATGGAGATAGAGTTTTCTAATTACCTAATTTCCACACACTGGTCTTGAACCACCGCCAGTAGTTTGCCATTACTGTGGAATAAAACAGAAGAGCGTTCAGGAATTATTGAGACAAAGAAGCGAGGGAGAGAGCAGATGGACAGAGAAGTAAATAATAGAGTAAACATGCACCGTTTTACTGCAAAACAGAATTACAAGCATAAAAACAAAATTTAAAAAAAGAAAGATTTAAAAGGTAAAAACATCCAAATTAGGTCATATTCAGAAACATTTCATCATGATTTGGTTGAATTTATAATTGCCATTCCCCCCCCCCCCCCCCCCCCCCCCTCTATTGTTACAGGAGGAGAGACGAGAGAAGCAGCTGAGAGTGGGTTATTAAAGAGCGTGAGACAGAAACAATCTTCCTGCTGTACCTTGAAAGAACCAGCTGCCAGTTGATTTGCTTGTTTGCCAGTCGGGCGAGACCAAGAGGCAGAGATGAGCTGGAGGGGCTGAGGGACAAACCATGAGAAAAATACAAGATTACTAAAGTTCTTTTTTTTTTTATATCATTATCGTTCAGCTTATTCTTTAATTTTAATTTGGGGGTCTTTTAAAGGTTGACTCAAAAAGTTTAACCATAAAAACATTTGATCTCCAAGATGTAAAGACCAGTAAAACTCTTTTATTGTATAACAACCCCTTAACAACAAAGTCAAAATTCTCAGTCCTCCAGGCCATAGTCATTCCATAAAAGTTTAAAAAACAATCCACATGGATTTTGTTTCCAAGGTTTGAAGACATTTCGCTTCCCGTCCAGGAAGCTTTCTTGATTCAAAATGTCTGGATTCACATTGAGTTTGAGGCTTTACATAGACAAGGCTTTGCATTGCTTGGAAACACGCAAATTGAAACTGACGAGCGTCTTGTTTGGTTCCACTGTTAGCCTGTAATATCTGAAACCTGTCTATGATTGTGTAAGTCCAGTGGATTGTTTTTTAAACTTTTACGGAACAAAGTCAAGGTTTTACGTCAGGTAAGTCAGTCCAAACAAAGATTAAGAAAAATGCAAATAATATAATTAATCTGTACTAATTTAGTTCCCACACAAAAGCTATTTTATTTAGGACCAGAAATATTTCCAACGGATAAATCTGACTTCCTTAAATGAAAGGGGAGAGAAGACATTAGCTCCACTCTGATTTCAGCCAGCTGACTGGAGATGTGCAGCAACGGGAACCATAGAAACTACTGGTCACTCCGTCACTTTCTCTCACAGTGGAAGTAAATCAAATAGAAACTGTTTGTAATTATTTGTAAATGCTGAGTTTACCATGATGAACAGATGAACATTGATGAACGTTACAAAACACCCTGCTTCTTTTTTCCTTTTTGTAAAATACTGTCATTCTATTGTCATTATCTACTCATGAAACACCCTGCAAATACATATATTTATTTTGTTCAGTAGAAGAAAAGCTTTTATACAAATATACTGAATACAATACATAAAAAACAAGTTACTAAATCAAAAATGAGTTAATTTGACATAACATTAATTTGAAAACGATCCAAATAAAATAATCCTGTATTTTTACCATCTCATTATTTCTGTGTCTCTCATTTAATGGCATCCTTTTAGTCTGCTGTGCTTCACTCACCTTTGAAACCATTAAAGGTAAGTTTATATATTATAAAATCTTCGAATCTCTAAGAAAAAATAAAGAGAGACTTCTATAGATTAAGGAGTTTTTAAATATTTATCATGGTTATTGATGGTGTTAGCTAGCTACCTGCTGGGAGGATAAGAAGGCCTTGAGCTAAAGCATTACAAAGCTCACTGCTTTAAAGACTGACAGCTGCTTTAATGTATTCTAGCAGGCAGTGGGTAGTATTGAAAGAGCGGCCTTGGTGAGAATTCCCTTATTTCCAATAATGGTGAAAATGCCCATCATGCAAAGCAGCATGGGCCTAATAGACTGGATGTTTTCTATGTAATGAAATATGCAAAAACTAAGCCGAAGAGGGGGTAGCCCAAGGTTTAAACAGTTACTCACAGCTTTAAGTCTGAGAGAGGGAATATATTAAGGACAGAAACATCTGCAAAAGTTGAACAATATTTTCAAATCCCTAATTTATCAATTGACAGAGCACTTCTTTAAAATTAAAAAAAGCATGTTTACATTTGAACGTTTATTTACATTCTCGATTAGAGCCAAAACTTATTTGTAGTAAATTAACTACAGAACTTCTAATAGGAGAAGCAGTTATCTGCAGCTATATGAGCTTTAAAGGTAAAGAAAGTGAAACGTGGAGAAAAGAAAACCTGCATGCAGAAGGAAATCTAGAGCTTGATGTGTTTCTAGAACAGGAACATTTTAAATTTCTGTTTACCTAACATGAAATCTCAAGCAAGATTAACTAGTTTGATTATAAACACAGTTTATCAAGTCAAGCCATAGGTTTGGCTCTTAGACTTAACATGAAAACAAAAACAGATTTATTTATGCATTTATTTATTATATTTGTTCAATTTGTATTTATCTGTTTAAATTTTTATGGTGTTCATTGTTATAGTTTTCCAGCCTTCTGTCAGAGCTTAAAATACAAATAATAATTCACAAATTAAGATATTCTTTCCTCAAACATTTGGCAATATGCAGTAAAAGTTAATACAGAAGTCACAACAGAGTTTTAGAGCTGACATCAAAGACAAACTTACCTATACCACAAATAGTGAAGGAGCAATCGGAGCGGTCCTGTGGAACAATAACCACAGTTAAGAAACTACATTTCAACAACTACATCCCATTCTGCTAAACCTTTAACCTAAGGGTGTGCAAAATAATCGTCAAATCGATGAATCGTGATTCTAATTTTTGTGATCTACGGCATCGATTCTTGAAGGCAAGAATCGATTATTTAAAAAAAAAAAATTAACAAATAAAATACATTAATGGTTGGCGCACATCAATCAAACCAATCTGAATACAACTTCCAGTCCAGCAGATGTCGCTGCGGATGTGTTGAGGCCTGCTGCTTTGTGTCACAAGCATGTCCGGCCGTGGGATACTGAGACGAGTCATTCGTAAACAAAATATGGAGGAGACTGAGAAAATTCGCCCCCCGGCTCCGTCACATTTCAAGTCAGATGCTTGGATGCATTGTGGCTTTAAAAGCAAAGAAGGTAAAAACGAAATTGAAATGATGCACGTAATTTGCAAAAGGGTAAATGTCATACATTTGAATGTTTTCATTTAATTGGTTTAAAGGACCACTGAGGCCATGTAAACGGCACTGATTATCCTCATTTTGTTATTTTAAGTTTGATGAATCCTAAGATCTTTTTGTCAGTGTGTCTACGCCAGTAATAGTAATATTTCTGTCCAGTATTTGTTTTCATGGCAACACCTCCAAAAGTCATTTCAATAAATACAGCTATGTATGAATTCAGTTGCTTTCAGTTAGCTGTATCTTTTTCTTACAGTGTTCAGTGAAAATATCGCAATGCATCGCAATATTTCAAGTATCGTGATACATCGTGATAGAATCGCATCGTGGCATGTGAATCGTGATTCGAATCGAATCGTGACTTCTTTGCCAATACCCACCCCTACTTTAACCAGTGTTATAGCCACGTCAAGGGTGTTCCTACTTCAAAATAAAGATTCTTTCAGGAGTTAAGATTCTTTTTTTTAAATAGGAAATAAGGTTGGAATAATATTTGCTTGCTATTCTGAAGTTTATACCCTATATTGCCAAAAGTATCTGTCTACTTGTATACAGGAGCTTTGATGACACCCAATTCTAAATCTATTAAGTCCAATTTGTTGATGGATCAGGCAACATAAACTTCAACAAGGCCCAGCAAAGCTTCTTCAACGTGTTTATGCACTAGTAGCATTAGAAATTATTTGCATCATTCATATATGGATTTGCTGGTGTGTTATGGGATTGATTGTGTCAAACCTTTATTTTAGAATAGCTCTTTTGTAAAAGTTTTCATTGGTAAAATACAAAAAAAAGAGAAAAAAACAATAAAATCAGTTAACCACTTATGGTACTGAAGTCACTAAAGAATTAGTTTACAAATATAAAAATAAAAACAACCTAAAAGAGCATTTTAAAAATGAAATTTTACTGAAAACTAAATGCACATTTAAACATCTTTTGCATCAGATTAACAGACATGCCTCACATGGCCAAAGACCCCCAAACTGATGGCGAGATAGAGCGGGGACCCCCTAATTATATATATTGTATGAAATTGTGTTATATCAAACTGGTCATATAGTTACTCTATGACAGATGGGGTTATTAACTAAAGTAATTTCGCTCTGGGATTATGATGATGCCTGGTTGATGGGATAGGTGTTGTGAATGAAACGGTGCCCAGCTTTAAAAAAAACTCCTGTGTGTCGCTGAATGTGTGCATTGATGACTGAAAGACATTTTCTGCCTCCATTTATCTGTTTACTACAGTGTGTTGAATTCATGATAATGTGTATTTAAAAACATTTGAATTAGTGGAAAAAAAATGCAGGGGGGGAATATAAAAAAAAAAAAAAAAAAGTCTTATCAACCAAAACTTTCACAACCCCCATGCAGTACCTCCATGGACCCCACTAGGGGTTGTGGACCCCCTGTTGAACCCCCCTGATATAGATCATTTCTCTGGCATATTTGTCAATCTAGATAAAAAGTGTCACCCATTATACACAGTGCCCTGCATTTTTGTTGCATAATATTGAACCATATTTTTTTTCCTGACACTCTCACAACATTCTCACATATTCAAGGTTTTCCTAATATCATGCAGCCACATAGTGAGGAAACTTTTTTGTATTGTGAGCAAGGCAGCAAATTGATAAACCTCACCACCATTGCCACCATCCATTCTGGAGGATGCATATTAGGTCATTTTTTTTTATTTATTATTTTATTACGGGGAGGTTTGCCCCTAAATGTGATAATATAAATACCATTTTTTAGCAGGTTTGCTTATTACAACACTGATAGTGTGTAGGTTTAATAAGACAATCAAGCAATATAAAGTACTCACCTGTCACTGCTTTTGCAATTACAGATGTGCTGTACTCCTTGTTGCCCCGTAACTGAAAGGAACAGAATTGAACATTTGTCATTACCCATAATGCACTAAAAACTCTCAGGACCTTTTATATTGCTATATAGATATAAATCAAAGCAAATGTAGGTACATTACATGAAAAAAAAAAATTAATACAGTTTAGGGCTCAATGTTAAACCATAATATCAAATATGTTCAATTTCAAACATATGCATGCACATATTACACTTAAACCGCATGCATTTATTACAGATATTGACTCTTTTAAACGTTCCTCCCAAATTTGCAGAAATAAGTGAGATAAATGTTTGAAACTCTCTGCAACTAATCAGCCATACATGTATACATCAGAAAGTAGGGGCATAGGTGGAAAAAAACGTTTTATTATTTTACTGCAGAGCTTCTGAGGAGAACTTGTCCAGCGTTTCTGCTACGTGGCTTTGCTCTGCTGACAGGGTTCAGACCGCTTTCTGTGTGGTTTCCTAACAGGTAACGTTTAAAAGAAAGGACGAAACTTGCGACCATTAACTATGATTCTTTAGGTGACCAACCTGCGTGTCAGTTTCTGGTGGCCATTCCGTAATAACCAGCAAATCGTACAAAATGTTTTCCTCTTCGTCTTCCATTAAGTTATCTTCGGTCATGATTGCCACAGCTGTCAGAAATATCCGCTACGGTAAGCAGAGAGGGACAAAAATACAGCAGGACCACACAGCTTCAACGCATGCTTACCCCAGAATTTTTATTTTGTGGGGATTTTTTTGCGTGAGTATAAGCTTTGCATAGCACAATATCAAATGTATACCTAAAGTTGTGTGTCTTTTGTTTGCTTATGTTTAACCATTTTAAACCATATTGACGATACTGCGGAACTCTTGTCTTTATGCTGTTCTGACGTTCTGTTAATCCGGTTGCACCGACTGAACACGTCACATCCGATTTGGTCCATCTGATTGCAGCAAAGATGGCAGCTTTTTCGGGTAAGTTTTTCATGTTAGACTTACTCGTTTCTTCATATTGACTAATTATTTGAGCACCAAATGGTTGTTAAGAACCAGACTTTCCCTCTGAAACACTAATTTGTGTTTTTTCCAAGCGCAGAAATGGGAGTTATGCCTGAAATCGCGCAGGCTGTGGAGGAGATGGATTGGCTGTGAGTTGCATTACACTATCTGCCAAATCATCCACATGTTCTGCTCATTCTTTGCCATTTTATCCGTGGAGAATATACTTATAGTTTTAATGGTTTAATGACAGGTTGCCAACCGACATCCAAGCGGAGTCAATTCCCCTGATTCTTGGTGGAGGGGATGTTCTCATGGTAAGCTGCGACGGCTTGGAAAACCATTTGCATCTTTTGTACTGCTGCAGATTTTGCCTTTGAATTATTATGTGAAAAATATTAAGTGGCAAAATAATTGAATACCTTCAATTTGAAATTCTTCATGGATGTGCACATCTATCTGACATTTTAACCCTGAACTGCCTCACTAGATGGCACAAGCTCAGTCAGACTGGACGTGAATTATGTGTGATCACTAGTTGTTGTCTTCCTAAAGATTGTGTGATTAATTTTTAAACTTTAATTGATCAATTTCAGGACATGGATACACGTAGATACAGTAGAGGTTTTACCTCCATTTAGCTCTAGACATTTTCTGTCAAATCTGACCAGCATATCTGTCCATAATGAAGAAAAGACAACTTAAAATATGATGCTGCTACCCTTTATTTCATAAGTTAGCCCTTAGGTCTTCAACAGGGGGTCCACAGAGGTATTGCGTGGGGGTTGCAAAAATGTTGGTTAGACTCTCTGTTTTTTAATTCCCCTCTGCAATTTTTTCCACTAATTGAAATGTCTTTAGATACACATTAACATGGATTCAACACACTGAAGTTAACAGATAAATGGAGGCAGTAGATGTCTTTCAGTCTTCAATGCACACATTCAGCGACGCACAGGAGCTCTTTAAGGCTGGGCACTGTTTCATTCACAACACCTGTCCCATCAACCAGGAATCCGGATCAGAAATACTTTTATCAATATAATCAATCAATCAAACTTCTTTATTGTCAACTACAATTTACATTGCAATTGAAATTTCAGTTTCAGTATAACCGTTCATCACAATACGTCCCATACATAATAACAATAATCATCCCAGGGAGAAATTACTTTCGTTACATTACTCCATCTGTAATAGAGTGACTATAGGACCAGTTTGATACAATTTCATATTATATATACAGTTAGGGAGTCCTGCTCCATCTCGGCATCAGTTTGAGGGTCTTTGGCCTGGAAAATGTTGAAGACCCCTGATTTAGCCCTTTAAACACATCCAAAAATTTACTTCTAACCCGTCTACTGTGTTATTTGGTAAATATGATGCTATTTGTTCACAACTAAACATCACAGACCTTCACAAAGCAGCAGAAGGCAATTGATTGCACTGGATGTTATTTAAGTGTATCATAGTGAGTTAAATGTGAATAGAGGAGATCTGAAAAATGATGACTCAGGATCCTTCAGCCCAACAATTAGGCATGCCTTTGGGAATGGCTTTTTCATAAAATCCTATAAAACTGAAGTTTGAGGTTAAATATTAGAAAATTATGTAATCTCTTTAGGTCTACATATATAGTGCTGCAACAATTGGAACTGATTTAGTAATCGATCATTCGTAACTGGAATATAGAGACTCTAAAACATGCTTTTAGCGATTACACCAAAATTGTAAAGAAAAAGATTTAAAAGCGATCTGCATTTAAGATGAAAAGGCTTCTTTTTTTTTTTTTTTTTTTACGGCACTAGTGGCTCGTTTTTCGACAGTAGGCTGACAGGAAAGGGGGTATGAGAGAGGTAGAAGATGCATGCGGCAGAGGACCGCAGGTCAAATTGGAACCCGGGCCACCCGCATTGAGGACTAAGGCCTCTATTCATGTGTCATGTGTGCTTACCACTGCGCCACCTGCACACTTACTTATGAAAAACCTTTTTTTCTATTAACATTCTCTATCCAGAACTCAAGTGCAATAGTTTTATTTTCACCTGGTTTATTCTCACTAAAAACACTTCTTTTACAAAACCTTTTACCATTCTTAACTGAAAAAAATTATCAACAGATGAATCCATTAGCAAAATAATCATCTGTTCCAACTATATTTTTGTATAATTTTTTTTTTTCATAGTTAGTGGAAACGTGTTGCTAACTCTAATTTTTCTTTTCTCTCATTAAAGGCAGCAGAAACTGGTAGTGGAAAGACAGGGGTAAGTATAGCCATCCCTCTTATTAAAATGTAATGATTTTATTATTTTATTTGTTGCTAAAAAATAAACCAGGCTGAGTTTCGGTAGCTCAGGTTCATGGGCCAGTTCTATTTCCTCCTCTTTGGTCACCAGGCCTTCAGCATCCCAGTCATCCAGATAGTCTATGAGACCCTAAAGGATCAGCAGGAGGGCAAGAAGGGCAGAGCTTCTGTCAAAACTGGGGGTCCAAGTAAGATGCTGCAATATTACAAAATTCTGCTGTAATATTACAACACTTATCTAAAGCCTAAATATATAACTAATCTGTTATTCAGTTGCTCATAAGTTTTGCTTTATCCTAGTTTTCAACACCTGGCAGATGAATCCATATGATCGTAGCCCAGCCTTTGGTAAGAGAAGCTCCAGTAAAGTAATCAGTATTCAACACAACAGATTAATTTACAGAATATTAGGATGCAGCTTCATCATTTTCAGATGGCATTATTGTGTTTCTCTGCTCAGCAATCGGTCCTGACGGATTGTGCTGCCAGAGCAGGGAGTTCAAAGAGTGGCATGGCTGTCGCTCCACCAAAGGAGTGACCAAAGGTGTGTAAAAGTGATTAGAATGATTCCCCAAAATGTTCCAATGGAAAAAATCTACTTTTAATGAATGATTTATTTTGCATTCGATATTTATAGGGAAGTATTACTATGAGGTGACTTGCCATGACCAGGGTCTTTGCCGTGTGGGTTGGTCTACTGGTCAAGCTGCTCTGGATTTAGGTATTCTGTTCAAAAATCTTCACTCTGCAAATCACAGAGCACCATCTTGGATTTGCAGAACCTGAACCCAAAATCTGTATTCTTGTTTTTTTTAACTCAGGAACTGATAAGTTTGGTTTTGGTTTCGGTGGAACTGGAAAGAAATCCAATAACAAGCAGTTTGACAGCTACGGGGAGGTAGGAATCTTTCCTGTGATTTTTTTATTTTATTTTATTTTTTTTGTTCATCTCTTTTATTTTTTGTATTGTCTGCCTTATTTTTGTTTACAGGAATTTACCATGCACGACACTATCGGATGCTACCTGGATTTAGATAAAGGGCAGATCTCCTTCTCTAAAAATGGTACAGCTTAATTCTTAAGCTATAGATCCCAATTGAATAGAAAAGTTGTGGAGTTGTTGTTTGTTAATAACATGTTGGGGTTTCTCATTTTCAAGGGATCGACCTGGGAGTGGCTTTTGACATCCCTCCAAATGTGGTGAATCAAGGTTTTTTCGCTGCTTGTGTCTTAAAGGTATCCACCGTGAACATATCACGCAGATAGTAGACAAACAATCAGAGCAATTGCGATGAAAGCTTTGCATCTTGCAAACTGATTATCTTTTCTTTCTGCTAGAACGCTGAGCTGAAGTTCAACTTTGGAGGGGAAGACTTTAAAAACCCCCCTAAAGCTGGGTTTGTCGCCTTAGATCAGGCACCAGACGGTCACACAATCAAATCCTCCCAGACAGGTATAGTAGACCTGAAAAGCATTCCATGTTTGTATATTTTAAATGGAAACTCAGATTTATTGGTGATAAAAATGTTAAATTGCAGGCAGTGCAAAAGTGACTCAAGTGAAAACTTCGACTAACTTACCCAAAGCTTTAATTATTGAGCCGTCCAAAGAGCTGGCAGAGCAAACCTTCAACAATGTGAAGCACTTTAAGAAATATGTGGAAAATCCCAAACTAAGGTAGGACTGAGAGAGGTGGTAGGTGTTGTATGAAAATACATTTCTGTTTAGCAGATCATTTGGAAACAAGCAAGTTTTCTTTCTTTTTTTTGTAATTCCTTATTCCTGCCAGCAGATGGAGCCAGAATGTTGAGTACTGTAATCCTGACAGCAATGTTTGAAATTCCTCCATCTGTGTCTACAGGGAGCTTCTGGTGATTGGGGGGGTTCCAGCCAAAGAGCAGTTAGCAATTCTGGAGCAGGGGGTATGTGACACACACAAGATTGATATGTTTAATAAATGCGGGAAGAAGAAAAATCCAGATGGGGAGATAAAATGTTTGTTTCAATGTGTTTTTTTTTCTGACTTTTTTTGTGTGTGATCCTGTTATCAGGTTGATATAGTGGTGGGGACACCTGGAAGACTGGATGACCTTGTTTCCACCGGAAAACTCTGTCTCTCCCAAGTCCGTTTCCTGGTCCTGGATGAGTGTGTACGTGTTACACATCGGGAAATTTGAATCGATTTTTTTTTTACTTTAAAGGATCAAGTCCCACCCTTGAGTAATTCGATTTTTTTTAAGTATTATGACAACATTCATGAAGTTTCCTTCTGTTGTATGGTTCCCCTTGCTTTCAGGATGGTCTCCTATCAGCTGGATATACCGACTTTATCAACAGGATCCATAAACAAATCCCTCAGGTCACCTCTGATGGCAAGAGACTGCAGGTA